GCACTAGCTGCTCTGTGGGAGAAAAGATGTGGCAGTCTACTTCCATAAGTTTACAGCCTTGAAAATTCTATGTGGTAGTTCTACTGTGTCCTGTGGGGTTGCTATGAAATTTACTCCACAGCAGTGGAAGAACAAAGCATGAGAGAACAGCATGTGTCAAGCCTGAAAGGCTTGCCAGGGCTTTTGTGGCTGTAGTAGCTGAGGTGACAAGAGTTTCAGGTCGGTGATGGGTGCCCTTGGAGAACTCAGGCAGGTTGTGATGGTGATAGTGGAATTATCTGGGGAAGTGAGCTCTCCCCATATCTCAGAAAGGGAGCTAATACACCTCTCCATCCCGCTAAGCCCTAAAAAAACAAAACAAAAAAACCAAACCTATTGTCATGGAGTTGATTCCAACTCATAGCTACTTGTATGAGTGTGAGCCCTTTGATGGTTAAGATTGTGTGTCAACTTGGCTGGACCATGATTCTGAGTGTTTATATGTGATCACTCCCATGATGGAATCTGCTGTGAGTAGCCAGTCAGTTGAAAGAGAGTTTCCTTGGGGGTGTGGCCTCCATTGGAATATAAGCAGACCTTCTCGCTTTTTGCTCTCTCTGGATCCCGCGCTGCCTCCTGTTCCTCTGACGGTCAGTTCTTGGGGTTTGAGCTATCAGCTTATCTGTGCATCTTGGGATTCATGGATCTTGGGATTCATCGATCTTCACAGCCTGTGAGTGGGAGCCCTGCTCTCTGATCTGCCGATCTCGGGTGCGCCAGCCACTGTGGCTACGTGGATCAAGAGAACCCTCTATCCTGATGCACAGACTTGGGATGTTTGAGCCTCTACATGGCATGAGCCGTTTCCTTGATATAAATCTGTTTCTGTATATATTTATACGCTTTGCTGGTTTTGCTTCTCTAGAGAACCCAGCCTAAGATAAACCCTAAGCCCTAGGCAACCACTAATTAATTGCTGTCTCTGTATAAATGGAATTGTAATACGTGGTCCTTTGTGATTGCCTTTCACTTAGTATGTTTTCAAAGTTTATTCACATTATAGGATTTATCAGTACTTCGTTTAGTTTTCATTGTTGAATGATATTCCATCATATGACTATACTGTCTTTTATTTATCCGTTCATCAGTTGATGGACATTTGTGCTGTTTCTACTTTTTGGGTATTATGACTAATGTTGCTATGAATTCATGAACATGTTTTTGTGTGGATGTATGTTTTATTTCTTTTGGGTATATACCTAGATGGAATTGCTGGGTCATATGGTAGCTCTGTGTTTAACCTTTTGAGAAACTGCCAGACTGTTTTCCAAAGCTGCTGCACCGTTTTATATACCCATGAGGCAGTGTATGAGGTTTCTTCACATCCTTGACAACTTTGTTATTATCTGTCTTTTTGATTATAACCATCCTACAGGGTGTGAAGTGGTATCTTGTTGCAGTTATGATTTGCATTTCCCTGCTAGCTAATGATATTGACAATTTTTCATGTGCTTATTGGTCATTTGTATATCTTTGGAGAAATGCCTATTCAGATCCTTTGCCCATTTTTAAAGCAGATTATTTGGCTCTTTATTACTGAGTTGTAAGAGTTCTTTATATAGTCTAGACACAAGTCGCGTATCAGATATATGATTTGCAAATATTTCTCCCATTCTATGGGTTGTCTTTTCATGTTTTTTGATAGTGTCCTTTGAAGCACAAAAGTTATTAGTTCTGACAATGTCCAGTTTATCTACTTTTTTCTTTTATTATTTGTGCTTTTGGTGTCATATCTAAAAAAAAATTTACACCTATCTTTTTACCCAACGGTTTTATAGCTTTAGCTCTTACATTTAGATCTTTGATGCATTTTGAGTTAAATTTTGTGTATGATGTGAGATAGGGGTTCAACTTCATTCTTTTGCATGTGAATATCCAGTTCTCCCAGCACCGTATGTTGAAGACTGTTGTTTCTTCATTGATTTGTATTGACACCTTTGTTGAAAATCACACCAATCATACTAATCACACCGGTTGCCATTAAGTTGAATCAGCTCATGGTGACCTTGTGTGTGTCAGAGTAGATCTTGTGTGTCAGAGTAGAGCTGTGCTCCATATGGTTTTTCAGTGGCTGATTTTTCAGAAGTAGGTCACCAGGCTTTTCTTCCAAGGCCCCTCTGGGTGGGTTCAAACTTCCAACCTTTCGGTTGGCAGCCAAGTACATTAACTGTGCCACTAGGGACTCCTGTCAAAAATCAATTGACCGTAAAGGTAAGGGTTCATTTTTGGACTTTCAGTTCTGTTCTGTTGATCTGTATGTCTGTCCTTATGCCAGTAGCACACTGTCTTCATTACTGTAACTTTGTGGTAAACTTTTGAAATCAGGAAGTATGAGTCTTCCAACTCTGTTCTTTTTTTTCCAAGACTGTTTTGGCTATTCTGGGCTCCTTGCATTTCCTCATGAATTTTAGGATTTAGCTTGTCAGTTTCTGCAAAGAAGTCAGATGTGATTTTGATAGGGATTGTCGTGAATCTGCATATCCATTTGGAAAGCATTGCAATCTTAATATTAAATCTTTCCAACCATACCGTCTTAATATTAAGTCTTTCCAACCATAAATGCGGAATGTCTTTTCATTTATTTAGGTCTTCTTTAATTTCTTCTAACAACAATTTGTAGCCT